CCCCCCCCCCCTTATACCGCGCCTGGACCACGGCCGGCAAACCGCGAATTGTTGACCGCGGCTCCACGGCTCCACGGCTCCACAGTTTGCACAAGGAGTGCCCGCAGGCCTCTGCTGCGGCGGGCGGATCAGCTGATCGAACGTGACCTTGCCATTGGCTGTGACTGCGAGCCTGGGTTTGTACTCCACTACTCCTCACTCACCGCGAGTCGCCATCACGGTCCGCGGGCGTGGGAGCTTTCCCATCGTGACGTCACTCGGACGTCAGACCATACCGAGTCACCGCAGCCACCGTCAGCAGCCCAACCCCACCGCCTCGGCGATCGGCGGGAAAGACTTCCCTCCAGCGCGCTCGGCGAGAGGAGCGATCGCCCAATCTCGTGTCGAGGACGAGGAGGCCCCAAGGTACTCCCGGGCCCCGGGCCCCGGGCCTCAGCCTACCCCCGGGCGAGCCCTTTCGCAACAGGGGGCGGTTGTGCGGCGCGCGTCTGTACTTAGGCAACCCGACGGACATCTCGCCCCTTCTCCCCCTTCGGTGTGAGTAGAAGCAGACTGCAGCCAAACCGGCCTCCCGTTTCGCAAGGCGTTTAGTTGCCGTACGTTCCACACGACACTGTAGCTGCTCCAGCAGTCTTTGTACAAAGCCAAAGGGGCCGAGGCGATGCTAAAGAAGGGGCAGGGCCAGCAGCCTGGATTGGAGTCCGGCGGGGTGGGGGAAGTCCACCGGGAGGTCACGGAACGAGGGCCAGGCTGTTCGGACGGCAGCCGGGCCAATGCCAAGCGGACGTAATGGGCGAGGGCCCGGACGAGGGCCGGGCCCAGGTGAAGCCTCGGCTGGGGACACGTGGCGTGCGTAATGACACCTTCCTTCGTCATCGATTTTCGGCTGTGAGGGAAGTGACTGGTCGATGTTGAGAAGGAAATGAGGTCTCTGGTTGTAGGAGATCTTGACATTGGCTCGTGAAGGTTGATTTGAGAAACGGAAGTTTGGCAGTTGCCGCGAAATGGAACCAGGGAATCGGGCATTCCTTTGTGTGGGCTCCAGTGTTGCGGGATTGCATACTCGCTAGGGCCGCAGGGGCGACGGATAGTCTTACGGGCGGAGGGAGTAGACAAACCTGCAACATTGGAGCCCGGAGCAAAAAAAACGTGAAAGGACAGAAAGGAATACTACCACGACGGAATGAGGGGCACCGTCTCTATGTAACGAAACCCATCTGAGAGAAAAATTCGTCGTTCAACCCGGTTGACGGAAACCCCACACACTCCGCTATCCCTTGCGAAGCTCGCTGCTCGATATCGCGCTACGGCGGGGGGTAAATGTGATAAAGAGGCAGAGGCACAGGGAGGCTGATAATGTGCGACCGACGGGGAACGGATTGAAGAACACCAGATATAAGGGAAAATTATCAATATTAATAAAAAATACAAATTTATAATCTCAATTTTAAAATTATATATACACAGTACACATAAGTAATTTTATCATGAGAGGCAAATAACTGAAACAAACATTTTCTGAAAAAAAAATCTGGTAAGATTGGGTGACAGTGTCATAGAACAGTGTAACACGGCAACAGCTTAAAAATTCCTGATTTTAGTCCTCCGTATGGAATGGTAATCCACTACTCACATAAAGATTAAAGAACAATGTTTATTTGTTAAGGATGTAAATTACTATCTTATCTCTAGGACAAGAGAAAACACAATATATGACTCAACTGGGAAATTATTTTTCCCTAACCATGTTAGAAGCTGGTAACATTGAAGGCCCTAAGGATTTGTCCAGAAAGAACGTCTGTTTTTTTCTCAGATCCATTCGGCAAATTACGGGAGCTCGGCGCCTGCAAGACTTGAGGTAGGCCACCCCGCAGTACACGCATGCATTGCAGACAATATTTTGCCTACCTATCTGGGCGCTATGATGAGAGTTTGGGCAGTTTCGTAAAGGCGAATGACAGGCGTACTTTCTGGATGATCCAAAAGTTTGATATTAGTCCATTAGTTTCTATTTCTAAAACACTTTACAATGAGCCATGATTCCTTTCCCTTAACTCTCTATACTTAATGAAATACTGATGGTTGATAAAAAATATAAATATTTGCAAGATTTTAAAAACTACACCACCCTCATATTTTTTTAAACTTTTGTAAACAACAAATGTATGCCTTGATTTGATAACAAAATATAGATAAAATTTGCAAAGCAATATGCGTGGCAAAATTCAACTATACATAACATAATCGTCAGTCTTTCCCTCCGACACTCACATTAACAATACAGCAAACCCATTCATACAACTTACTTTACACTATCTTGAGCAATATCTAAAGGGCAGATACTATGGAAACCCGAGTGTAAACATCATATGCAGTATTTACTGAATACCCCCTAGTTATTCACTATTTACTGACTGTATTGTATGCATGCAGGAGATAGTGTGTACATGGGTACATGGTCGGTCATGTCTGCAGAAGATGATATTGAATACCTTGACAGGTCGACACATACAACCTTCACATAAAGGCTGTGTGCTGTAATGCAGACATGACAATGTGCACACACTATTTCCTGCATCCATAAAGGATATTCAGTTAATAATGCATACCTAGGTGGTATTCAGTAAATACTGAGAACATGAATACACTTGTGTATCCAAAGTGGCCAAATAATAATTTTTTCAATACTCCAATTAATACACAAATTTGATAAATTTGAAGATCTCAGTTAGTTTGCATTACTCTAGGTTCAGCAGTAAAACAAGAAGAATTTAACAATCATCTAAAATTAAAATTTGTTCAAACACAACACATATAACAAACAAAAGTATTGAAAAGGAGGTGATACATTTTAACAGAGGAATACACACGCCAAAACTTTGGGAAAAGGCACCATGACAAACACTACAGGTGTTCAAAGTTGTTTTAAACTTTTATCAATCCTTTATAAAGCAAGAAAAATTGTAAGAAATAACCGATGGTCAAAATATGAAAATTGCAGCTTATGTACTACACAAGTAACATTACTGGACGGATTTACGAGTGGATTATGTATTGCCACTCATTTTTTAACATTCATGCAATCAGAAAAGATTGTTGCGCGGAGACTAGAGAAGATATAACATCAAGCAGAGTAAATAGTTTGTGTTGCACAAAAACCACAACTGTCACATAAAGATAACAATTTGTAATCAGATTAAAAATTGTGGAGAAAGTACCACAATCAGTTAATGAACATATAGATCTCATAAAAATCCCATCAATAGCAACATGTGTCACATTAGAAGAAAAAAAAGGAAGAAATGGGGCGTGAATGATTTTGTGGGGCAGCATCATAACTCACCCATTGCAACAATAATGTTAGACAATGCTGTGCGAGCATCATTCTGCTCAAAAGCAGCAAGAACTTCCATAGCTTTTTGAGAATGCTCCTGCCTCAGCCTTTTTGTCATAGCAAGTCCTGGTCCTTTGGATACAATACTCTGGATCTAAATAAAAACAAATAGATAAATAAATAGTTGGATAGATAGATAAATCAATTCAAAAGAGATCGAAATATTACAGTAATACTGCATACCTTTGCATAATCCACATCATTTACATTTTCAGCACCAACTTGGATAAGATTGTACAGGGAAGAGTCATACTCTAAATGAAAAAGGACAGGTGCAGAGACAAGACTGAAACCAACTCCTGTGGAATGTTGAGCTGATGGCATGAAGGGCTCCATATCAAGACAAGCCTGAAATGATATCAAATGTTTATCTCAAAATTACTTAAGCTTCCAATCTTAACAAAATCTGGGTATAATTATCACACAAACAATTATCGGTACATACCTGCCAAGCAAGAGCAAGATGCTTCCCAAACTTGTAACCCTCTTTGGAAAATTCCTTGTTATGGCCTGCAAGCCTGAGAGTGCCCTCACAAGATTTGCCAAGCAGTCTTCCACCAGAAAGTTCACTTCGAAGAGTCCAGTCATCAACAGCAGAGCACTCTGATGGATGAGAAGGGATCGGGTTGTTTTGTTGATCTCTCTGACCCACAAATTCACTTTCAGTCAGGTCACGCACAGCACTGCTCATTAACTCTGTAATCTGTGTAAAGAAATATATTAAAAATTTGAATGTAATACTGTGAAAATACTAAAATGTACCATTCACAGTAAAAGTTTATGTCTTCATTTTTCCCACCTCTTGATTCCGCAAGGCAGCAAGTTCTACACAACAGTTGCTGAGCAAATAGTCCCCACTTAGCAATGCAATTTTGTTTCCAAAGGTCATATCATTGAGAACAGCTCCTTCTTCTACAAGTCCAGGGTGTATATTCACAAGCCCTTTGTGCACTAAATGAGATGTTCGTATCATTTCGGTCACCTCAGCTAGGGCACGTTGACTGGAAAAGGGATGAATTTTATTTGAATGATTCAATGATTCAGATTAATACCACTTATTGATTTACGAGCATGTGTAAATACCTGTGCAAAACTCCTGCTGCCTTGTCCTCTTCCATTTCATTCACATTATGATGACCAGCTGCTTTAGACAATAGCAGAACAATTAGCCCCCATGCTTGCATATTATTTTTTCCATTATACAGCAATCCTCTGACAAAAAAAAAGGGGGAAGCAAAAAGTGAGGGTGTGCATGATTATTCATGGTGCTAGAATGTCACAATAATATTCACGTTGATAACATATACAGTGAAGTGACTAATTAAATACACCAAATTCAAGGGAAAAAGATTTTATTTAGATATATAATTCTTACTTGGCTGTCTTGAGCAGAGGATGATTTGATCCAACAAGCTTGCGTAAATGCAAGGCAACATTGGCAATCTCATCACTTAAAAGCCATCGCAAACTGAGAAAAGATGTTGGGTAGCCAACAATCTTTTCTGCTTCAGAAACAGCTTTGTTCCAATCTGGCTTCGGATTGTGAGCATGTTGACTAACAGCACTGAGGCGCCCACAATCGGTATGAAGGAAGGCTGGAAATACACCTGCTGGTCGGGCTGTCAAGGTGCGTGCCCCAAGAGAACCCCTCATTAAGTATTTACTAACTTTGCTGGTCAACATTTTGCTCTCAGCTTAACCTGTCTTAAACACGTATGTGGCACAGATTCGATAACAAGTAAAGACACTACGAAGGAGTGAAGGAGACTAAGAGGCACAACTTCGCACAACGTTACGCTAGGGGTGAGAACCAAGCCTGGGAAACCAGGTGAAAGTTCTCACATCATTCTCAGACCTTCAGGTGCCATCAAAATCGCTTTCACTTGCCCCTCTGCTGCAACACCCCCCCACCTTCCCCCGTCTGTTTGTTGTGGAGGGGGCGTTCCTTAAATCAGCTGTTTTACCTGTTTTACAGAAGAAGCCACCCCGCCACGTAGTCATACAAGATATCTAAAAGAAGCAAGCAAAGTTATAGTTACCGCGTTAGAAGTAGAAAAGAAAACTTCGGTGGAAGCACGCGTTGGATATATTGAAAAAGCAGGTTTTAAAAAGGGTAGTAGTAAAGAATGTACCTAGTCCCATGAAGAAAGGAAACACACCCTTCGCTTTAACATTAAATATTTGATGAGTATTTACGATAAATATGGACAGGCGTATTAGTTAGAAGCAGTAAAATAATTTTCAACTTTACAATTGATTTGTTTAATTGTCTATTTCTTAGAGACGTAACTATTCGCCGCGTTCTATTTCGGTTTTAGCATGTTGGCTAAATTGGATAATTCTGTTGCACACCAAAAACCGAAAACAACAGCAAACAGCCGGAGGAGCACACGGGAGCTGTATAGGAGCCACCCGAAGTGGCCGAAGCGGGGGTCGGGAGTTCGGCTCGGCCCGGCCCCGGCGGTCGCGACTCGGTCTGTCTACTGCGCCCGTAGGGGCCAGGGCATTGCAGCTGTGACAGCTGTAGTCTGGAGAATTCCTTAAAATGTTATTGAATGTTCAATATTGCTGGCCCGAGCAGGGAATAAAGTGCTATTATCGCACATTAAGTAGCACATTTCCTGCGCAATTAAGGCGCATTACCGAACAATAAATGCGCTGAACATGTGTTAACTTAAAACAGTATTAGTGGTGCATGCAAAGTGCAACAAAATGTCCCGCACTTAATGTGTAAAAGTGCATAAAATGCGGTAATGCCCATAAAAAGTACATTAGGCGATTCAAGAGTTTACCCAGTACCCTTTCCTTTCAGCCTATTTTCATAATTTTCACTCAACTAAATTTTATGAAAACGCAAAATTTAGTCAGCAAGGACAATATTAGCAATCAAGTTGTTGACACCACACACCACACACAATTCATATATTTCGTATGCCATTACATTTTTTAAAGCGGTCTATAGATTAAGATCTCCAGAAATCCTCTGACTTTATTTGATGCG